TAATTGAGTCTATGTAAGAGAAACTTGGTTCTGATGAATCTTCTGAGATAACATTTTGTATGAAAGTGCATGAAGAAGAGATTCGTTGGTCGATCTTTCCGGATGAGGCCTAACTTTAACCTTTTGATAACTCTGATTTAGGACCGGTATTGTGTATAGACGCTATCACACACGCACACACGCATACACTCGAGCAAATGTAGTAAGAAACGTATTAAAGATAATTAGCCAAACCACTCTATATCCATCTAGGTTTTTAATTTTTTATTTTTTTTGGCTCGATTGAGTGTATATAAGTAGTAAGATAGAGCCGGATAGTGTTCTTGACCGAGTGTAAACGTGAAATTCTTTCAAGAATGACACCCAGCTCGGATCATGTGCATCACATGATGGACGAAAGTTCAGCATGTTTCCACCCGAAACCACAGAGCAAGTCCAGTAGACTGCGTCAACATGACTCTCTTGTTCATGCACTTTCATTCGAAATGAAGTTCCCCCCAACAATGTGATCTCGGAAGATTCATCAAAACCAACTTTCTCTTCGTATCTCCAGTTATTTTTCAATTAATAACAGCAAATATCGGTGGCAAAGCGAAAATGTCCTTAGTTCCTGTCGCCCACACGACTTCTCATGACGTCCAACCTTTGCGGGACACACAAAAAAGATTACTTTTTTCATGCCAAATCACCTCATCCCAGCTCTGGCGAGTCAATTGCGCCCAATTGGCCGCCGCGCTGGACGACTCTCCCACTGCCGATCCCATTGACTCTGCCGCGTTTCCGTCAACCGACCGGACGACGGCAACTCGAACGGCGCCAGAAGATCGTCTCCTCGTCTCCACCGCCAGCCTCACCGGCCACGTCGGACCGGTCTGGTCGAGTGATTGGCACTGGACCGGTCGTCACGTCGTGACTGGCGGCCATGACGGCACCGTACGGCTATGGCAACTGGACGGCCCGATGGCTACTGCCAGTGTTGCCATGGCGACACGAGGAGGAGGAGGAGGTGAGTTGACTGACTCGTCCGGTCAATTGGCAGTAGGACAAAGTGCCTGTGTGGTCGGTCAGAATGAGGGCAATTTGTGCCGATCCGTGCTACGGGGAAGACGAGCAGAGAGCCGAAGTCCGGGATCCGGATCGGTGAATTCAGTTCACTTTCTGCCCTACAGCAACATCGTGTCGGGAGGATCATCCGACGGCAACGTGTACATCTGGGACGCAAGGACTGTGAGTTCATGACGACGAATTGTTGTGTCACTTTTCCCACACAACTAGCATACATTCACGACCTATCAACTCTTTCCATTCATAAAACGGTAGACCAAGTTGGTGTGGACGCTGTTTTGGTCGCAATCCCCTTTTCCTGTATCCAACTGGTCTGGCCTCGTTTTCGCAACTTGCTCGTGTCGTCAGGGCGACCTAATTTGCAACTTCTCTGCTACAGTAGTCATCACAACTCCCACTGTCGGAGCATGGAATCGACACATTTCCATACGTTCCGTCTGCGTCGTCGGTGCGTCTTGCTATTCATAGCGTCAAGATACCAATCGTCACTCACACACTCACAACCCCGACTAGGTAAATGGGCCGAGTCCACAACCCAACGTTGGGTATTGTCATAACTCTGCAGGCAGAGAGGTTCGGACAGGGTGCATTAAACCAGATCGCCTTGACAACACGCCCAAGTTGGCAGGCTCTTTGATACATGCGGCCCATGGCAACGAGGTCAAAAGTTCCTTCTTTTTCGAATATATGATAATGCTCATGCAGATCGACGTGGATGGTGGTTTTTGCTGCACTGAAATCACTGGCTTTCTGTCCATCGGCTTGCGGAACCGAGCTCGTCAGTGTCTTTCCACCCAAAAACCAGTTGCCATGGCCTCGGAAATAGACTGGGTTTGACTAGTTAAGCTGTCCCAGTCAAAGATGGTACCCAGTTCGCTGCTACTCTGCATAATATCACATGTCCTATCACTATACAGTATTAGTAATGTCTCGTATTTATTGTGTTTAACGTTATAATGTGACTTTAATGCATATTTCGCTGAATTACTATGAATGCAATTATTTAAAGGCAATCCCGTAGAAAAATGAAGCTAGTTTTGGTTGTGCCAAGAAAAGTTGGCCTTCAAGAAATTTATTGTTTCATAATTGTTGAGCTTACTTT